AAAGCCGGCCCTGGAATGCTGTTAGTGTAAATGGAATTCGTTTCGTGATACTACCAAATGTTTATGATGTATATCTTCTGATGAAACATTTTTGCTACTTATTGATATCAAATCATAAGAATGTCAGGTGCAGTTTTATAAAAATTACCATTATGTGTACCTATCAGTTCTCACATTATTATGCGCGTCTTACATCTAGAATTTTGTTCAGGTGAAAACACATCTCTTTATTATTGTAAAACGGTGATCATTATGTCTTTATGAACAAGCAATTGAAGTCAATGAGGCATAAAATGTCCAGATGCCGGCCGTATAATTTATGTCGACAAGAAAAGCGACCGACTGTATCTGGCCAGTGTTGAAATTTGCAGCGAAGTTCTTAAATTCAGGACCTGACAAAGCGAACGAGAAGTGCTAATCATCTTGGCAAAAACTCGTCATTCTCATATTAGCTAATGCGTACACCCGGTGCATTGAAAAGTAACCAAATTTCACGGCACGCCGACGAATAAAATTCCATTAGGAACTTACCTCATTTGGGATACATATGTGGTGAAAAAATCTATATTTCTTGGAAATATTTAATGCTGTTGCTTAAACTTTCTTTAATATTCTTTTAAATTTATTTTTGTGTCGCTTCAAATATTATGTTAATGCTTTTCAACTTCTCGTTTTCCTTTCAATCTAAACACTAATGTTATCTCAATCAATTTTACCTAGAAACCCAACTTTAGCCTTACCCGCATGCATTCTCATACGAATATCTGGTTTTACCCTTAATTACTTTCTCTTAAAATCTATACTGTTCAATTCTGTCTCTATAAACCAGTGTTTTCACCCTTATTCTCACTACTTTTCCTGCTAGATTTCTATAACATTCTATCAAATTATACTAACAACCCTGTCCTATAAATACTCCGCAAAATTCCTATTTATACACCGAGTGGCATGGCCTAGAGGTTTAGACCATTGCGTAGCATTCGGGAGGACGCCGGTTCGATTCCGGGTCCGTCTGCCTGGGTCTAAGTTTTTCTGTGGCTAAACATATTTGAAAAGTACTTTTAGGAGTTCGAAACAAACAACGAAGTATCTTACACTCATTATCATCATCATAAGGTCGTCAATCCTAGGACACGCAGTTTCACTCTTTCATATCCTGAGCTAATGTTTGCCCCTCTTAACTCCTGTTTCTACTCCTTATTTGTCTCTAACTAGCCCTTCATGCCCAAGATGATGTCCTACCAACCTATCTCGTCTATTTCTTCTTAATGACTTCCACAAAGACCTCTGTTCTCCTACTCATTTCCAATATCTTCTCATTACTTCTCTAACCACAATAACCTCATCGTAATTTCGGACGCTTCTAACCTTTTCTTTTCCACCGTTTCGCACCCGTACAATGCCGTGCTGCAGACACATACCTTTAACAGTCTTTCTCTAAATTGTTGTCCGTTAGCATAGAAGTGACTTCTTACTATTAAATATGACTCTACTTTGCGCTCTCCTCTGTTTTATATCTTTACCGCTGCTTCCATCCTGAGTTATCTGACTTCCTAGATACCGAAAATCAGCCACTTACCGTTACGGCCGTATCTTTTGATCGCGTTGCCTTAGGGTTTGATTTTTTCATATGTCCTAAGGGATTACAGACCTGTGTAATTGATATTAATTCCTAACCTAACCTAACCTTGATATCCCCGCGCGTTCCTGAAAGAAATGGTCTTGACAGACAGATAGACGAACAAGGAAGTGATTCTATAAGAGTTCTCTTTTTGTGCTTTTGAAGTACGGAACCATATAAACAGAAGATTATTTGCCGAAGATCATTAGGCACAGCGAGATCAAAATCGGAAATACCGTCGCTTTTTATAAGAGCAACATGATCTCGGGTCAATTATTAATTGATAGTTTTAATTAATAAATTATTAAGATTAACGCCTGCATCATTCGTGACAAAAAATTGTGCAAAACAGGCAGAAGGATTTCGTCAGTCCGGTTTCGTACCATCGCGAAGCTTGGGAACTGCATCTCGCGCAAACATTATGCATGCATGTAGGTTGAATATTTAAATTATCAGTTATCCAACATTTCACATGCCGAGTTACTGTTATATTCTGTGATTTATTTCCTTTCCGCCACCTTGCAGCTTAATAATAAAAAGGAAAAAATGTGTAATATGAAAAATATTTTCTTCCTCTGAAATCTGGGTCAGACTTCTAATCTTGTTTGTCGCTTCCTATCAGCGTTAATAACGAGCTTAACTGAAGAAATTTGTTTGATTTAACTCCGTCAATATGCTACTTATTACTTCCGTTACGTATGATATTTATTTATTCAAAGAAATTGCGACGCACTCATAATCTCTAAATAAACTCAAAATCGTTACTTTTTGATGTAATTACTTAGATATCTCCTTTTTTGATGGTTATTAATTTTGTTTTTTTGGGTGTAAATAGTTCTTTTGTCAGAAAAACTAGAACGGAATTACTTCAAATCGTAAACAAACTAAACGTAGAACGCGTAATAAGAAAAGAATTTACAATTTTCATTGAATAATAACGTTGTGAGATAGTGTTGACAGATGCTCTTATTATTGTAACTAAATAGTTCTAAAACGACAAATTATCACTTCGTTACATTCAAAAGCTTTAACGTTACTCACTGATATTTATATTTCACACACAATCGCCTCTGTGAGAATCGAAAGCGTTTGCTTGCGTGGTCGTAGTGTAAATATGATTAGAATTGTACAGGGTGTCACATATTGTATGTACATGCGTATCAGTGGCGGCTCGTACGAGAGAGCACACCGGTAAGGTGGCCCGTTAGAGGCAACTGGCAAGAAAAATTCTCATTCCACCCACTGTAAGTAAGATCAAGACTTGTCTGGGTATTGTTCATGATCTTGCTTTTTCGGTACTTGTCTTGGTCTTGGTCAAACACTTCTAGTCTCGATCTAGATCTATTTAGGATGTTTGGAAGGTACAATCGGAGAAAAGAGTACATAAAATTAGAAATTCGTGAGTAATTAGGTTTTGCAGCATATCATGGGGTAAATAAGTACTATCTGTACTAAAAAAAAAGTATACGGTTTGAGAGAAAATTTGAAATTTGACCAAAAACTTTGAATGAAATAAGAAATAACGAATAATATGGAAAATTTTTAACTTACTTTTGGCAGTGAATATGCCTTGANTTCAGTGATGAAGTTCCTGACGACCATCTCACCATTTGCTTATGACAGAAGATGCTTCATTGGTAATGCTACATAACACCATCTCTCCAATCAAAGCAAGAATGAAGCAGGTCCAGTAGTGAACTGATTATGAACCATTTCATCATTTGTTTTTAGAAAAAGATGGTTCATTGGTGATGTTACTAAGGACTGTAACAATATCTCTTCAGTTAAAATTAAAAAGAACTCAATCCAATGGTGAAGCTCACTGATTGATCAATTCACCATTTGTTATTGAACGATGGTTCATTGGTGGTTTTACTAATTTCTATCTCAGTGATTGTATTGTAAAAGAAGATAATGCAGTGGTGAAAGATTACTAAACACCATCTCACTAATTATATTTGGAAACAAGGTGTCCATGCACTGTTGGTAACAACTTTTTGGCATAATTCAACAGTTGATTTTAAAAATAATTTTGTCTTCATAGTCGCTTTAAATTTATTAAAATTCACCTGCATCCGTGATGTGATGTGACACTTAAAATAGAAAAGACAAGATATGTGAACACGTGTATTACAAGGGGCATGTAGATGCGTGAATTATACGTAGGTATGTATGTATGAAGGTATATCGAAAAGAATGACAAGGCAATAAATAAGGCCAATAACAATTAATTTATGTAATTAGTAGTCGGCAAGTAGGCAGGAGATTCAGATTTACGCGTGTACGATCGTCTCGGCAATACCAAATTTGACAAAGACGAGTTTTCGCTATCCTGATGGAAAAGCGGCAGACTGCGTGGCTTTTGTTACCTATTATAGCGTTATTGCATTGAATCGCGCGCATCGTTTTAGTATGTAGTAGTCGTCAGTGCTACTTGTTCCCTTCTATACATGTGTACGAACGCCATATGAGGACATCTTGGCAGAAAAACTCACTCGAATGCGTACATCATGAAAATTTGATGAAACCAATACGCTTGGCTCGGATCGCGAACACATTTGTTCCGATTTTGCTACGATATAGGCTTCAAACAATCCTACTCGATTAGATAAATTTGCCATTTCTCTCCTAAACATCTCAAACCACGATACTGATAAGTTTAACTTCACAATTGAGCGAATATAGTCTTGATCTTGAAAGACCAAGTCGACATTGGCATTAACAAGACAGAGACAAATGTACCAATCGTAAGAACAAACCTATTTTGCTAATTGAAAACCGCAATTAATTTTGATCTTGTAATCTCGAAAAAATGAAATCGCAAAGACTTAATCGGAACGATCAAGCTAACAATGAGATTGCATCAAGACTTCACCAAGAATAGCAACTACTTGCAAGAGATTTGCTAATTGAAAAACGAAATCAATTTTAATCCTGCCGTTCTTTCGAATCGAAACACTAAAGTCTTATTGACCGGGACGAAGAATGAGCCCGTGTCTGTAAAACTTCTCCAAGAATAGAACCAACTTGCTAAATGAAAACCGTACCTAATTTAAATTAGTCTTGTAGTCCTTTTATATCGAAAGATTGATTTTCGTTAAGGTGGTCAAAATATCGACTTAATTTGGTCGACTAGTACCAAGAATGGAACTACGTAGATAAGGATTCACCATGAGCAACATCAATTTTGATTTTGCAATATTTCGCAGACTTAATCCATTCGACAAAGACCCCCCAATAAATATCATAAAATCAAACACCCTGAGTCTAAGTTAGATTTTTGTCTCAATTTCACTACTCTAGATACGATATGTAATGATGTTGAATGTTATTACATTTATTGGCCAATTTCTAATATCCCTTTTTCTAATTGTTTCAGGAAGAAAATAACGGTTCACCCATGGATTCCAGTTTCGAAAGCAGTGACGAGGAAACTGCCGAGATAGAAGTAAAACCAGAGGTGTCCCTGTATTTTCCACCAAAACCGGCTCAATCCCCTAAAACTTCCTCCTCGCAATCGACAAGTAATAGTAGTAGTAGTAATAATAATAATAATTCTTCGGCTACATTAGCCACAATTGCCCATCCTTCATCTCATACAGTCACTACTTCTACGATAACTTCCTCCTCGTCGGTATCATCTTCGGAACAAAGCAAATCCACGCTAACGACAACCACTCCGTCAACTACGTCACAACCACCCCCTCTAATATCCGCGCCGTTGCTTTACCAGACACCGCAGGGGATGATGTACGCAGCTCATTCAAACGGAGGAGTCATTTTTAGTTTGGCACAGGTAGGAATTTTCTTATTTATGTTTTCCTTATTATTATTTTGAAATATGGAAAATCGAAATCAAAGTCATCACGGTCTTACTATTGGTCTTGGTCTTCTTTTTCCCATAATCATTTTGAACTAGACCAAGAGCAACAATAAGCATGGGAAATCAAGACCAAAGTCATCATGGCCTTGTTCTTCATCTTATTTTTCCCAGAACCATTTTAAACTAGACCAAGAGCAACAGTAAGAATAGGTCAAAACCAAAATGATCGTAATCTTGCTCTTGGTGTTTGTTCCCATAACTATTTTGAACTAGACCAAGAACAACAATAAGTATGGAAAATCAAAACCAAAGTCATCATTGTCTTGCTCTTGGCCTTGTTTTTCCCCATTATCACTCTAAACTATGCCAAGAGTAACAGTATATGTGAGAGACCAAGAGTAAAGTCATTAAAGTCTTGCTTTTGCTCTTGTTTTTTCCATAACCATTCTCAACTAAATCATACATGGTTTTGTTCTTGGTCTTGTTTTTTCCATTACTATTTTGAACTGTACAACCTTTGTTGTTATGAGCCGTTTTCTCGTTTTCTGTGGATAAAAGAAAATGAAAAAGAGTTCTCTGAAACCAAACTGAGTGAAGCACTCTGGTTCTCGAAATTCCACAGTTAGAGAGACTAAGTCTGTAATTGACGATGAGTTTGAATCTGACTGAGTCTCTAATTGAGGAAAGCGTATTAGGTTTGGATATGAGTTCTTTTCTAGGGATGATTCTGGACAATAAAATTTTTGAATCATCCACCAATTATTGCTAAAAATTCTTGACGACTTGAGGAATTGTACTTCGATTTTGAAGACCTTCGCGGGTTCTTGATATCAGTAAATATGAGTAGGGAGAATTATACACATTTTCCCGGATCTTAGGGTGTAATCCTTTACTTCCTTTCTGCTAACAAAAGTTACGTTGTTTTTCATTTCTAAAAAAAAACTCCTCGTTTGTGAATAATTGTCGCCGATTTCCAAGATCTTTAGGAGCGCATTTTCCGTGTTGTTTCAGGGTAATTCCAGCCAACCACCGCAGTTCATCACGATTCCGTTGTCGTTGATGGCGAATAACGGTCAGGAGTTGGATCTATCGAAGCGGAAGTGACGAAAGGAGGTTGTTTCCGCCATCGTATCGCAGGTAGCCACCGTTCGATCAATCTTTTCCTTCCTTTTTCACGTTGTCTTCCTCAGCTCGACCACGTCTTTTCTACGTGGCTTCCGCATAGAAAGAAAAGTAACGTAGAACGTAGAACTTCGACAAGGTACATACAATATTATCATTACTTACTACACTACTGTTGTTTATTATTTATTTATTATGCATATAATATTATCCACGCATAGCAAGACGCACAACACAAACAGAAAACGTTACACTAGTAATGTCGTTTGTGTGTCACGTACGTGTGCTATTTATTTTTCGTTTGCTATGCGATCCGCGCGATTCCGGCAATTTTTTTGACCCGGAAACGGAACGACTTCGCGCGGCTCTTGCACCGAACGGTATCCGGTCAAAACAATTTGCGTGTATCTATTGTCAAATTGAATGACAAAATTTATCGGAGTTACTTGCCAAAGCGCCTAAGTGGTGGCAATGAATCTGTATGAGACCTACAACAACTGCGAATTCTAACTTTAAGCATGTTTGGGAGGTACAATCGGAGACAGGAGTACATAAAATTAGAAATTCGAGATTAATTAAATCTCAAATGTAGCATCGTACTGCAGATGGCGCTCACCGCGCCATTTGTGGTATTTTCGAGAACGCGCTGTTAAGACGGCGGGTAAAGGTTGGTCTGTGTTCTGTCGGAGCTGCCTGCGACGCGCTGATGAGATCCAAAAGGATCGAAATCGCGATCCGCGTCTGGCGGTTCGACAGAATGCAGACCGCTTCGAGTTGTTTTGTTCGAGATTAATTAAGTTTTGCAGCATATCATGAGGTATATAAATACTTTCTATACTGAAAAGAAAGTATACGGTTTGAGAGAAAATTTGAAATTTGACTAAAAACTTTGAGTAAAATAAGAAATAACGAATAATATGGAAAATTTTTAACTGACTTTTGGCAGTGAATATGCCTTGATTTCAACTTCGAAACAAAAAAATATTTAGTTTCAATCTCTATTAATAATGAGCGTAAAACTTTTTAATATGTTTAAATAATAATTAAAATTTAAAATTGCATTTATTTCAGACAATTATAAATATTATCATTATATTATCAACTAAAAACGAGATTTTCAGCTAATTTTTCATTTTTTCCTCGATAACCATTTAGTGAATTTGAATAACCTTACGCTAAAGTGATTCTCCAGAGTTGAAGTTACTTATTATAAAAGTTTGAAATTTCTGGTAGCTTTTTTTCTGTTAATAAAAATAAATTTAATCTGTTCGGTTAACGAATCTCCATAATATGACGTGTAAAATTACAATTTTTTAAAATTTTAATAACTTTTTAACGGTTTAGTGAATCGATTTATAATTTTTACAGGAGTTTTTAGAATTGAATGAGGAACGTTCTTCCAAATTTTTATTTGTCTCGTAGCATTTTGACATACCTCCCAAACATCCTTAAGATACGAATGAATGATATTTAAAAAGACCCAGGGTATTTCAATCATGGACAAAGGAATAATATAGAGACGGAGCATAAAATGTCTTTATAGATAGGGGATGTAAAACTTCTCCAAGGGGATGGGTGTCACCTGTCTAGTTGTGCCTAAATTTTATTATAGAAAGTCGAAAGCTAAAAAGTTAAATATTAATTTAGCCAATCTGTATAACGGAAGGGATGACCCTTAGAAATTATTTAAAAAAAAAATATATAATTAGGGCTTCTTCTCAAAAACGTTATTACAAAGTTCATGTTTAACACCCTGTATCTATTTAACCATCAAGGTATGTTTTATTGAATCACATTTTATGTTGTCCAGAATTCGCAGTTATTCTGTGTCTCATTCTGGGCGAACCTCACCCTATATAAAAATGAACAATTGCCAATAAATAAAAATAATTTCTAGATAATAATAGTAACTAATTTTTCTACCCATACAATGGCAATAAATTACAAAGGCTTAAAACAATTTATTATACGATTTTCTTTCACAATTTAATATATATTTAGAAAATCGAACGTTGCACACACATATGTCTTTCCCGGAAGATTTACTGCAATTAAGTAATTCCAGAGAAAATTATTGAACTACTAGAACTTTTCTAATGATTATTTTTAGTTCACATTAGTTGTACATAAATAATTTAAAATTATTTTCTTGTACTTAAACATCCCGTGACAAAATAATTTAAGTAAAAATTTGTTATTAGAACAGAAAAGTTTTAAAAGGTGGACAAAGACTATATTTATTGGACTTCTTTTGGACTATATTTTGACCCAATTGGAGCCTAATTTTATGTATCATTTTTCTTTGTGTGGAATCGTTCTTTGATTGTTGAAACGAGATCGTTTTTTGAAACATAAAAAAGCAGATCGTAAAAAATTGACGTAAGTCCAAGTCACCTGACTTTTTTACTTATTCGGTCGTTATTTTTACATTTGCTGCTCCAGATTTTCGAGTGTCGGACCCGCGAAATCAGATTATTTTTAATGCTCGTATGAACACTTAAATGCATATGTATTTATACAAACAAATGTACATTATTTTCTACCGTTTTTCGAATTCGTACGGTATTATTTTTGTGCGTTTTATACGTGATACGTACCTACCAATAATACAGTTAGTGCGCATGCATAAAAAATACTCAAACTATGGACAATAAACAATAAATAAAATGTTCGCTTTTTGGAAAACAGTAACTACCAAAAATATCATTAATAAAAATCATTCCTTCGCTTCCTTCTCTAACGTTAATGCATTTATTGAATAATAAAGAGATCCTGAATTATGTTGGATTTTCCTTTTTATATTGTAGCATAAACTAATTTTATTATTAGTTTTGTTGCTTTCTGATGTGGAATTAGGTGTTTTATTTTATTTTTATTTACGTTGATAAAATCAGGGAAAAGGATAATGAAACTGCCTACAAAACTAGCTGGTTTGTGAACCTAAAAAAAATCGAAATTGGTTATTTCATACCACGCGATTTTAATTAGTTTCTTATAAATTCGAATTTTAATTTATTAATCCTATCAGCTAGTTATTATTATTGATTAATTTTTGGGGGACCAATTAATTTCCTAATTCTGCTGTAAAAATTCGTTAAGCAAATTTTGCAACAAAATACTATTTTAAACAAAAAGCGAACATTTAAAATAAATATGTGCATACTTACATACAATATATATATATTCTATAAGTATATAGGATATAAAAAAATATACTTATTTTATGATAGATATAACTTGGTAACTGATGTTTTTATGAAATTTATGTAGACTGATTGAAAGGATAAATCATTCACTTTGTTATAATACGATATTTATTACTAGTCATCATTGCTTGTCTTAATTAATTAAAAATTTTGTTTAAAAATGAATTATTGGAGACACTCATTTGTTAGTCGTTTGTCTCCGGTATTTGCAATAAAAATGTTTTTGTACTTATTTTTTTCTTTTTGTTTAATAACTCCAGAAGTAGGAAACTGTGATGGGCACCGACAGGTAGGAGCTTAGTCCTTAAA